ATTTTAGCTTACATATTAAAAATATTAAAGGCATACACTTCAGCGGATTTAGTGTTGATGTTGTCATGGATTGAATTGTGTCTTCCCCAAAATTCATGTGTTGAAGCCCCAACCCCCAGTGCCTCAGAATGTGACCGTATTTGGAGTAGGTCTTTTAAAGAGGTTAACTAAGGTAAAATGAGGTCGTAGGGGTGGGGCCCTAAGCCAATATGATTGGTGTCCTTATAAGAAGAGGAAGAGAGCTAGAGATGTTTCTGCACAGAAAAAAGGCCATGTAAGAACACGGCAAGATGGCAGCCATCTGAGGCCAAGGAGAGGGACCTCAGGAGAAACCAGCCCTGCCGGCACCTTGGTCTTGGACCTCCAGCCTCCAGAACTGTGAGAAAATAAATTTCTGTTGTCAAAGATACAAAGTCTGTGGTATTTTGTTATAGTAGCTCTAGAAAACGAATACAAAGTGGAAGAAATCAGAGAACGTTAAAGTGACGAATAGATTCTTTCCCAATATCACTTTTAGTTTTTCTTTTTTCTTTGCCCCCCATCAGTCATTTTCCCCATGTCAGTGAATTGTTGATACTTGGGTTACCCAGGTTTACCACTGCTCCATAGGCAAAGCTGAATACTTTGCTTTTTCACCTACTTTATACTCTCACACAAAATGTTCAACTAAAGGGCTAATTTATAATAGGTGATTTATTTTAAAAGTAGAAATATTTATTTTACTAGTAAAAAAGATTTTCCAAGAACTTCTAATAATTTTGTTTAGGGTGAGAGGGAATTTTATACCGATAGCACTATCAATATCCCATGACATTAACAGATATTTATTGTGCACCTACTGTGCGCCAGGCTCTGTGTTAGGTGCCAGAGATATGGCAATGAACAAGTCAGAGAAACTCCCTGCTTCACGGCGAAGATAGCTGGTAAACTAATCAACCAACCAACTTATCAACCAATGATTGCAGTTCTGGAAAGAATGAAATAAATGGTAGGCCATGATAGAGACTAGTATGGGAGACCTACTTAAGGAGATGGCTTTAATCTGAGTTTGAAGCCAGAGAAACAGCCTTTATATACATGTAAGGGAGGTCAGAGCATGGGTGTATGGCAGGAGATGTCAAGGGTCAAATGGGAAGAATGTTCTTGGCATAGGGTAGAACTAGTAACATGGTTTTGAGGCAGTTTTAGGAACTGTTTGTAGGACTGATCAAAGTGGATGCTGCTGAGTATTGTGACTGAGTTGGGAGAAGCCCATGACACTGAGGCTGGTATGGGGCTAGGCAAGGGCTGGGTCATGCACAGGCCTGTAGGCCATGGTCAGGGCTGGGGTGCAAACCAAGTGCAGTAGAAATCTATTAAAAGGTTTTAAGCAGGCAAGTCGATAATAATTTAGACCCCATCTATGAAATCCAGAAATGGAATCAAATATATAATTTATCGGTATGGATATTTATACAATATAAAAATTATTTAAATAAATTTTCTTAAGAGAAAAACATAAGCAGAAAAAATTTTAACCTGTTTATGTGCAATCAGGGGTCTAATTAAGTGACAGTAATTGATCATGACATCAAAGGATAGACTGTAGCCCTTTAACTGCACTCTCTCCCTTACAGAGGGGGGTCTTTTCAGAGCTGAGAATACTATGTCAGAAGCTTACGCATATGGTATCAAGGATATAATTAGAGTTGGGTAGAGTTGGGTAGAGTTGGAAGTTCTGGGCTGGTTTCCCATCTTCTTAGCCTGCCCGTCAGTTGGTCCCAATAAACCACTAGCAAGGCCAGCACTTGATAAGCTTTAGGGAAGGGCAGAAAAAGCCCTCCACTCATTACATTTTGATATCCCTTCTCCCCCATTGGAAAAGGTGGCTGAAAACCGTTAAAGCTCTTAAGACTTCACTGAATTAGGAAGACAGCAGGAATTCTCCCTTGAGCCACAGTTCATTTATTTGGCTTATCTGACATCAGAACCAGCAAGAACACAAGGATTTCTCTAATTTAGCAGCAGACTATTTACAAATGAGTCAGTCTCCCATTGTATTAAGTCCTTAATATGGGGAAAAGTCCCCCAGAGTTAAGCAGGAGCATACATGAATAATGACAAAACAAATATTTTAATCAAGAACAGCAGTTAGGTTCCTATCTGTAGACCATCTCATGAAGGATGTGCAGATAGGGAGCCTGAAGAATGGGGTGGAAAATAGATGGGACCCAGGGTCAGAAGACCTCTGCGCAACCTTTGCTAGCATGTGACCTTGGATAAGTCTCTTAATGTGTCAGAGCTAGCATTTACTTCTCAGTGAAATAGAATTGATAATATCCAAACCTATAGAGCTTTGATGAGCAAATAATGTGTAAGAAAGGGTTCTGTAATTTTCAAAGTACTCCAGTAATGTAAAATGTATTATTCATATCCAGGTTGCCATGATGAGATACAAGAGACTGAAGACAAAATTCTTACTCTTTTGAAGGTTGTAATTACAATGGGAAACAACAATGCATAGACTAAATACAAAAATGATAACACAATCACCATTCCTATTACTAGTATGTGCTCAAAATATCTGTCAAAATGAAATAAAAATAACGTAGTAGGATCTGCAACTTCAGGAAATAGATATAGGGTAGATGCAGTGGGGAGCAGTGTCACGAAAAGCTTTCTGGAAGGCTTTCTGTTTATGTAGGTTTTATAAGAGGCAATGTAGCAGAGTAGTTAGGTGTTTGGGATGAGGTAGGTTAAATCCTGCATCCACTGTTTTGTAGCTGTATGACTGTGGGAGAGTCACGTGAACTCTGTAAACTGATACCTTTACTGATCTACAAAATGGGGATGAATGTATTTACTCTACAGGCTTACATTAAGGGCTAGGAGAAATTATGTAAATAAGGTTTTGACACAGTGCTAGCAGGAAGCATGTGTTTTAAAAAACGGTAGCTGTTAGGATTATAACCCTGACATATCTCACCAGAGTTGAATGATGGTGAAGCATTATAACTATTATGACAGAGAAGGTGAGACATCACCCCATCACTTATATAATCACGGCAAGTGTGGGGAATGGTGAGGATCTAATTCAACAAAAAGGAAATACAGGAAAAATGAGAAATTCAAAAGAGAGTTGGGAACTTTTAAGAACAGGAGAAAGCATTGAGAAATACGGAGGGCAACAGCTATTCACAAGGAGTCGGCTTCGTTGGTCAGTCTTAAATTCTGCTTTGTTTTCCAAATAGATATGGCCTCCTGCGTTCATCAAGCAGATGTGAGGTGTCTCTGCTGAGACGGTTTTACTGTCTTAAGTGACCATCAAGTCATTGTGATCAATCACTTGAGTAGGGAAAAGGGCTGGTGGTGACAAACTGAGATTTCCTCTTTGGAGATTTCTTTCTCACAAATTTAATTAAGAAAAGGTCAAAGAAGAGTGCTGGAAGTAGCTGGAATGTGCTCAGAATTACGGGGGAGAGGACACAGTGTGAGACCACAGCTTTGCCTTCAGACACAATTGAATCTGTATTGACTTCTTCTTTGAGGACTGTCAATACTTTTTTTTTTTTGGTAATTCCATATTTAGTTCTGTTGTTTCAGATACCATATAACATTGGGGAACCAAATTCACTGGGAGTAAGATTAAAGCTGTCACTCTTCTCACTCATACTTTTGAGAGGCTGAGATATAATAAAGAAGAGGAACTGTGTGACCTACAAGCTCGGCAACTTTGAACAAATGGTGGGGTTAACTGAAGAGTGCTATTTAATTTTATCTTCGTGAAACTAGGACATGGTATAAAATGAAACTAGGGTGCTGCTTATATATTTTTAAGATACAAATTAAGGTAAATATGTAACTTCTAATAGATGTACATCATTATCTCCTAAAACATCTCACGTACTAATTTCGTAAGAACAGTTACAGGCATCGGGAACAGGAAACAGTCCAGGAAGGAGAGTTCTAGAAACAAAGAAGTGGCTAACAATACCAAGTGGCGAAGGTGATGAGGACTGAGTAATGGCCATCATGTGTTTCAGGGATGCTTTTTGTGAAATTGTAATGGAAAGGAGGCCAGCTATTTTAAAGGCAATTTAATCCCTTGGTTCACTTCATAGTTAATAATTACAAAAAAAGAAGTCCATTGGCTTTTAGTTCAGAGAAAGTTAGAGTTACTAAGCAAAATTCACATATTTCTAAGAAACGGGTAAACACATTTGTAAATCAGGAGTCTAAACTAGGCTGAAACATATGATAAATACATAGTCTGTCCACTTATCTTCATTTTTACTCAATGTATATTATCACAACCGAGGAACTTTAACCAATGAGAGGAATCTCCTACATCGCAATTAAAATAGAAAGAGAAAATCTTTAAGAATGCCTTTATCTGAATACACAGGGGCTATCTGAATTCGTACATTTTAACACATTTGGAAGAAAGCTTTGCATATTCTGGGACTTGAAAGCAGACTTTATCAGGATGGCTACCCAGAAACATTTGTAAGCCAGAGAAGAGTTGAAAGACAATTTCTCCCACTGTTATGATTAGGGAAATGATTTCCATGGTATGATCCCATCCTGTCACTTTTCCTCTCTTTTACTTCAATCTTAAATTAATGGAGCATTGTCTTCCAAATCAGTGGAGGTATCCATGTCCTTGGAATAAGAAAATTCTTGCGTTACTATTTTGCGGGCATTTGACGTGGCACATATAATACAATCGACTGGGGAGACCCAGAGTCCGGCATCCACTGAAGGCTAATATTTAGCATGGCATCCATTTACACAAATTTTGCCTTTCGCTATGTTTAAACAAGGATATGAATTCCATGGTATATGAGTGGGAAGTGTTCAAACTAACGTCATGAAGGATGTCTAATTTGAATCAATTCAAAGATGACTTAGTGACCCTTAGGACACTAAGGGCATCCACTTGACCCTTGCTGAGACTTCTTGTCAAGGGAGCAGACTGTTACCCTGTCTAAGGACAGTCAAGCAGCCAAACCTGCACTAACCATGGTGGGTTGTTCCGGAGCCTGTTGACATACAACCCGATGAGAACATGTTCATCAGCCAGCCTGTCTGCCACATTCAGGCTGTACTGTATCCTGAAACAGGGCAGGAGGAAAGAAAGGGTGTTGGGAGGAGAGGCGGGCAGAAATAGGCAGAGCAGGTGGGAGTGGGTTCGTGATAGAAAAGGCATTTGGAAAAGCAAGCAGGTAGAGGAAAAATAAGTGATGTTCTATGAAAAATCCAAGCAAAATCCAAGCAATGAAATACACAATTTCATTTCACTAAGTTTAAAAATAAAGATTTCCAATTAGGTAAAGTAACTTTTAAGAAAACAGAATTGCATTCTTCAAGCCAGTAAAGCCAAGAAATTCATCTGTACGGTAAACACACTGATTGGGTTGCAAGCAAAGAGTAAGTCTCCTTTGGAAAATCAAATCTGAAGTTTAGTCATTAAAAAAAAGAAGGAAATCAGGGAAAGTGAATCACACAGATGTGTCTACTCAAAAGAACTACTTGGTGCCGTTAGTTGGGTTATAATAGAGCTGCTTTTGCTAAATCAAAGACGGTCTTTCAAACACAAAGCATTTTTGACACAAGGAATCTCTACTTTTAGTTGAGTTAATTCAGGGTTTCAGGACACTCTGGCTTTAACTTACCCTTTGCCCTTCAGAAAAGCTGGAGCAGCCCTAGCCAGCAGTTTGTTCTGCTCTACTTCACTGTCCTTGGGAGGAGAGCTAGTTAATAAGATGGGAAAGCCAAGAAGAGGGTAAACACAGCAATGCATTCAAGAATAGAACTGGCTACAGACACTCCCAAGTCTAGATCCAAGCTCCATTTGGACAGCTCTCTTGGTATTTTGAAATGTTCAAGATGTTTGCAGATTTCCACAGAGTTGAACTAGGAGTAGAAACCTGGCCCGAGAACCATAATTGCAATTACACAACCATCCCTGATCCACGGGTTGACCTCTGCAATTTGTTTAACAAATAGATTGCATTGCCTGGACATCATGAAAATCCATTCAACATTCATTACAGACTATCATGTCAACAGTCGAATAGTTCACGAAGTCCTGCCAGCCTTTAGGTCCCACTTCTCCAGCCTTCCTTATTTTGTCCAACTTTCTGAGTTGAATACACACTTGAAAATTACCTAGTTAGAAGATCGCTGTCATATTAGAAGTGCTTTACCACTCCAGGCACAAGTCACCTGACCCTTGCTGAGAAGCTGCAAAGAAAACTTTCAGAGAAACAGAGAAATAGACCTTTGCTCCTTATAAATATATATTCATCTTCCCTGTGTCTGTAACTGGTGGCTAGAATCCCATCATTATAGCAAATTCTTAACATTTTAGGTTCATTATGAGGAATACTCATTTTATTTAGTAATTTAAATGCCAGTTTGAAAAGTTTAAAGTGTAGTTTTATTAAGGGATAAATAGAAATAGAAATAATAATTCATAAAGTGTGGCCATGCCAAAGTGACCCAAGATCTACTGGTCATGTTTCACTGGGAAAATGGTATTGATTGTTAGTATTGCAATTGTACTTGTAAATGCACTTAAAGGGAACTTGCTCCTTTGCAGGTTAAGAATTTTTTTCCCTGTAACACTGGTGGACCTAAAACTATCCACCCACCCCTTTCATGATGAATACAAAAATTAACTGTCTGATTTGTTTGGTGGCAAGTTGTTAATTCCTTCGATTGAAATTACGAGGTCTTATCAAAAACTTGCCCAACTTTTCAACAAGTTCTAAAATATATGTATGTATTAAGATGGCTTGTAAAGTAGTTAAAATCTTAAAAACTTTATGAGTTTTAAGGATTTATTACAAAGTATCACTCTTTCAGACCATGAAGCACACACACAAAAAAAATACAAATGTGCAAGTAAATATCACATTAGGATTATGCATATTGTGATTAGAATTCTTGTTTTAGTATTGTATGTACTATAAGGTCGCTGGAAAACTTAAAAATAAAATTTGATTTATAAAGCAAATGTCTAGGAGAGAGTAGGCACTCATGTTTGTTGAATGTGTGATCTCACTTAGCTTTTCAGGGATGCACCTATTACTTAAAACTGCACACAAATGGAATTGACTTTAAGAATGAAATGATTAATGTTCTAGGAGAATTTAATTTCTTGATGAACATAATGATTTTTTTTTCCAGCATTTTGATCTTCCCCTTCTAAGGTGATGAAACTGTGCATTAGGACAAAATAGCCACCTTATGCCACCATCATTGTTGGTATTTTCCCATCATCCCACCAAAACAGCATTCCAAACCTTGTCTCCTGAAGCATATCCCTCTGTATTCGTTATCCAGTAACTACAGTCTCTCTGCTGCCCAATTACCACTCTCCCCAACTTTTTGTTTTAGAACTCAAGATAGATGTACCTATTATATAATTGGTTTCCAATCCCTGCAAGACCACTAAAAACGTGGCGTGAAATATCAATAATTCTTCCTTCCAAACTTAACTACTTCTGCCCTGTTATGCTTTTTGTCCCTCGAATCCCAGAAATTGTGATGGTATTTCCTTAAATCAAAAGCCTAATAACTACACAGGTACAACTTCTGGTGCTGAATGCACAAGAAGAAAGAAAGGACCACTAAAGAAAAGAAACACATGAGGATCAACCGTGAGGATGCGTTTGCCACCAATTACTCCAGTGAAGTCTCACAGGAAGAAGGTGATGTGTGGGCAGAGCCCCAGGAGTGCATCCTGCCACTTGGTCATTGCCAGGCACTAGCACAGGAGGAAGTCTGCTGATTTCAGGAAACGAGCAGTGGCTCAGATTTTCCTTTGGTGGCCTTATTCTTTTCCTCCTAATTCTTTGAGCCCCTCTCTCCTTCCCCTACTCCATTTGCCTGTCTCCTCTCTTCTCTTCCTTTTCTTCCTTTCTTCTTCTTCCCAAATCCTTTCCTCCTTCAAAGGGAGGAGGAGCAGACATTCTATCTGCATACATCTCTTTTCATTTTGTTGTCATTTTCTTTGCACTGGCCCTTGGCAGTGTGGGTTTGAAGAAATCATTAAAATTCTTTTATGTTTTTTCTGCCTCCCACATGACTTCTTGGGAAAACCAGTTCTTGGAAAATATGGAAATTACACTCTCTGCATTTATGAGTTTGTGGAAATATACCATTTACTTCATTTTGCTACAGCTCTTAGTATCTAGGGCCAAGAGCATTTCTGACTTTTGGTACTCATTGTCCACATAGTTTCTGTACTTCCTAGAACTAGTCTCAAATTCTCAAATTCTGGGAAGCCAAAAATATAACCATGTATAGAGGAAGCCAAGTTCATGATGAAGACAAGAAAAAAAAAAGCCACTCTTTCTAAATGAAATGGATCAAGAACTTACAGAGTTGACAGGAGAGGCAGATTTCACCTAAGGCTTGGGTCTATAAAGACTTTTCATGTGAAGTATCTTCACCAGAATTTCTTCTGTGGCTCCCAAAGAGCCCGAGGAGGGAAAGCAGAGTGAAAAACTTTTCTCCTGAGTTGTGAGGAGACTAACAATATATAGTTTATTATCATTTCTTCAAAGCAATATACACTCACCATGTTTTACAGACTATACTAGATTTTTAAACTTTCATTTTGTAGCTTGGCTGTTTCTGTGGAGAAGTTAGGTCGTATTTCCAATTCATTGTGGGCTTTGGGATCAGGCACATTAAAACCTACATTCTTCCCCTGAAATAATGCTTTCGGCATGTCAGTGTGCAAAAATGCAACAATGGCTTGCACACAACTCTATCTGTAAAAGCCTCTCCTTCTTCTACATGCCTTGTTCTCAAATCAAAATGTGTCCTTCCTTTTAATTTCTGTAGGTGGGAACTAGTTGGAGCTCCTCTTGACCAGGTACGATAAATCTTTTCTAATCTGAGTCCCGAGAAAAAGCACGGTCACCATCTCTAAAACTCTGTACACATATCTCTTTTTCTCACTGTTTCTTTTTTTCCCCCCCACCAGGTCCCTGGCATTGTATAAGTTCATTCCTCTGTGCACACACTAACATTAACGGCTGTGGTGACCATCGTACCCTGGAGGGTATGACAAGGTAAATCTGAAGTTTATGTGCTCTGCTGGAAGAAAAAAAGGCAGGAAATATTCCTTTAGGTTTTTTTGTTTCTAAAAAATTTTGTATGTTCTTACTAATTCCTTTTCAGACTTACTAATTCCTTTTCAGACTATAAAGATAAATGGCCTTTTCCCAAATTTTTTCATATGCACACATACAATGATAAAATGAGTTCTGGAACAATTGAGCAAGTTCAAAATGTCTCATATTTATTTATCTAAAATTCACCTTCGGTTTTGAAGGGTGACAACAGGTGTCAGCATTTTTGCTGAAGCGCAAACATTTTTGGGGTGGTCTAAGGTAACATGATCACACAGAAATGTTCCCCGGAGTCTTGCTTACACCTGAAATATGGTTTTAAAAGCCACTTTTGTTTATGCTGTGTTACTATATTAGCCCTGGTCAAACATTTTTTTTCTTTTATTAAACATGAAAATAAAAGAATTTAAATAAAAGTCCTGGATGTAGTCTCACAGAGCAGCAGTATTACATAAACACATTATGTAAGGTAAAATAATTCTTATCACAATGGTTAAATGGAAAATGATATGTGAATAATGGCAAATTAAAAACAGATATATTCATTTTTATTGATTTTAAATAACTGATAACCTTGCGTGGTGTTCAGACAGGTGAAGCATGGAAGTTGGTCCCTTCGGAAGTAACTGTTAATCGTGAACAAAATTTTGCTTCTCATGTATGTATGTAAACACATGCACACATATGCGTGTATAGCCATACTTCTACGTGTGTACATGCACACTTATAAACATATATGTTCATAATATATATGAACATTTAATGTGCATATTAACATACGTGTATATGCACATACGGCATTGTTTATATATGTCAAAACTTACTGAATTGTGCACTTATTTTAAATATATTCATTGAATTGTACGTCAATTATATCTCAAAAAAGCTGTTTTTTATTTAATTTCTCTCACTATAATTAACCCAGACTAGCAACAAGGGCATTAAACTAAGTTAAAAACCATAAAAAAGTGTCCACAAGTCAGTTTTGTCGAGATAATTTCTGGACAAATTCTGTTTTCCTTTCCTTCTCTAGCTTTCCATATCTGAGATCTGAGACAAACCATCTGCCCCCTACAAATCAGCAAACAAGCATAAAAACTAGCTCAGTGTTTCAGCGGGAAAATTAGTTGTCATCAACTCAGGCTGGCATGAAAGCCAGAGCATCTTTTAAGCAGGTACTGTGGAGGAAATAATAGGAGTTCTTAGGCCATATGTGATTCACTACATCTACTATGTCGTCCCCCCAGATACCATCAAGCTGTGTCAATTGCATTTTAGCCAAAAGAGCATCTAGAAAAGTTTGCTGGGTGCAAGGCACGCACAGAGAAGAACTAAAGCAGCCACAGGAAGAGAATAAAGGTCATGGAAGGGCGGAAGGGAGGTGGCTGCAGGTGTAATCACGCGCTAATAGTTTTGTACGGAAACAGAGTGGAGTGTAAAGACCAGTGTACTTCCAATTTGAAAATAAAACTAGCACATTAGTGGAGCTCTGGGGCTACAGGAATAAAGAATTAACTTCAAAGAGTAATTATTTCAAATTTCATGAAATTTCAGACAACATAAAGAGTGAAAAAGAGTGAAGAAACCTTCAGGGTGGTCGGCTTATAAGTTTGTCTATTTTACGATGCTGATTTATAAACGTATCTATTTTCCTGACTGGAAAGGATGGGCTTTAATCCTAGAAAAAAATGAACCATGGAGAAAACGTTGATTTTCAGAAGCCAATTCAATGCCTCGATTTTATTTCACTTCGCTTCTGATTACCAAAGCACAAATGCTTAGAATTTAGGTGTGACTGTTTTAAGTCTGATGAACGAATCTGGGTTGTGAGGCAAAGCATCTTAGGATAAGCAAAGTGTTTGAAAAAAACTGAAAAGGACACAGTGGATTAGCCTTTCTGTGGTTGAAAACCCAAACCAATCCACCAACTGACCAATCAGTCGACCAACACAAATCTCACAAATGCTGCTCCACTGGGAAGAATCCAGATTTGCGGAGAGGTTGGGGTGGATGGTGTGCCTTCCCCATGCACGTAACTGAGTCTAATATGGTATCAGTTGTTAACCAAATGTCATTGTGACAAACCAGAAACCAGCATATTAGATGGTGTTTGACACACTCTATGAATCACAAGCAATTTTCTGGTATTTGGGAGAGCGACAAGATCTGGCTATATATATATAACGGACAAAGTGATTTGTGAGCAGTTATTAATTTAGAGGTTGCATTTGTGAAAATATATGTGAAACCTTTAAGAAATGGTTCTAAAATTGGGGCTAAAAGAACGTAGCCATTCAAACTTTTACTATGTTGTTGTGGCTAATGAAAAAGATGGCCATAAGTAAAGAAACTTATTTTACATAGGAAAGGCCTGGTTAACTTTCTCCCATAAACGAGGCAAGGATTTTGACAAGGTGATTGGGACTTTACAAAGGGGGCATGATGCCAGCAAAGATAGTAGATATGCAGGGGCTGAAGGTGGTGAAGGGGAGAAGGGACTCTTTGGGCCTGGCAATACTACTTACAATAATGACAGTCTATGTTTCATAAGCTTAGAAAATGTTGCTGCCACACCATACATGGCTACTGGAGCCTTTTCCTAGTGGTGATGATAGACTTCCACTGATCCAACATTTTTTCCCTTAAATTGACGCGTTTATGAGAAAATAATCTAGGTTTAGGGATATAGTTATGATCACAAAAATGCATGAGGTGAATTAGCCCATGAATTGGGTCCTTTGGCCCACATTGTACCTAACTGCACACACACACACACACACACACGAAGACATCAAACATTTAAGGGAGAGCGCCTTTGAGAATTTCCTCTTTTCTTTTATGTAAGGGAAAAGTGAATCAAGTGCACAGCTAGAAAGGGATAAGAACCGGGGGTGCTGTGGCAGATGGTGGTGGTAACCAGAGCTACACACACTCATAAATCTGTGTGAGGTGTATTGCTAGGGTGTCAAAAGACTTCAAAGGTATACCCTACTGCCTTCTGAAGATCAAAGTGGTATGCTTGTAAAGGACTCTAGGTGAGTAATGCCAGGACTTTGTAGAGAGGATTCTGGAGTGATTTCAATTCATCCTTGTCCTGCTTTATCTTTCCCCAATCTGTCACAATACGAAAGGCCAAAAGCTCAGGCTAAATAAAATATCTGTGTGCTAAAGCTCCCTAATTTCTTAATGCTGCCTTAACACTGACCAGTGCCATCCTTGCTTGCTTAAGTTTTAGGTTTTATTAGATTTTAAAAAGGGCGGTTGGGTTTGGGCAGGAGTGAGGGCAGAGCTCTAGGTCATATCTGTTTGGTTCAGTTCCAGTTGTAGGAAGAACAGGACCTATAATTTATGCCTACATTTGGCATGATGGGTTTCCATCGACCTTCGTGTACGGACGTGGTTAAGAAATAAACAGTGGGTCACCAACCAGCATTATCAAGTGATAGAAATTAAGCATTGAGAGCATAAAGGTCGTTTTTAAATTGCTACTTTAATAGGAATCAGGGGCACCTGGGTAGCTCAGTCGGTTAAGCAGCTGACTTCGGCTCAGGTCATGATCGTGTGGTTTATGGGTTTGAGCCCTGCATCGGGCTCTATGCTGACAGCTCGGAACCTGGAGCCTGCTTCAGATTCTGTGCCTCCCTCTCTCGCTGTCCCTCCACTGCTTGTGTTCTCTCTCTCTCAAAAATGAATAAACATTAAAAAAAATATATATATATATATATAAATAGGAATCAGACTGCCTGACCTGGGGGAAGAGTGGTCCAGACTTAGTAGGCTAGTGGATACAAATTCTCAAGTTTTTTACTACAATATGGTCCAGCCATGTGGCATTGTCCTGGTCTTATGCCATTAGTGCTAAAGATCTTTCCAAGAGGCTCTTTGATTCAAGAATCTAAGAAATCACCAACTGGGGTCTTGCAAACTATACAAAGGCAGAGTTTCATCCAAAGAAGAAGATCGGCTTGGTACTCTTCATATATATGCATCTCATGTATACGGGTATGAGGCTGTGAAATCAATTAACATAAGCAGAAACGAGAGGAAAGAGCTGAGAAGCCCAGTTCGAGTTGAACATTCTCCACGGAATCTCATGAAATCCCGGAAGACTTCTATATCTCTACTAAGACATACGAGAAGAGGATTTTAGTGATGGAGGAGAATGACTAGCAGTCTAGCTATGGAACTACTAACTACGATTAGTGATTGAGCGCTGGGATACTGACCGTGAGCCGTGGTCAAGCTGATTTACATACAGCTTTATGAGCGAATGCTCTTCAGCCACAGGGCTGGATGCACTTATCCCCTCAGGTGACCTGAGGGGTGCAAACAATGAGACCTCATTAAAACCTTCCACGGACAGAGCAAGGCCCACTCAGAGAGGAAAGGCATTCAGTGTACACAGCTTTATTGAACAGCACCCTCAAAACAGAAACCAGAGGCTAACCTCCGTGGTGACAGAAAGAACCGCAGTCTTTAAACAACGTTATCTGTGGTTCACAGAGAACATTCCAACAGGACTGAAAATGGGAAAAAGGGGAAGTGATCATAGTTTGGATTAACGGGTACCACGCACCCTGGAGGAACCAGAACAGCTCAAAGTATATTATAGGGATATTTTAGAGGAGAGGAAGCCATGTTATCCATCTAGACGCATCCACCATAAGCACCGTCCGAGCTGAAATGATATAAAACGACCTTCAGTAAGGATGGGGTCTACCTCTGCTTGACATTTGCAGAATGCAGGGTTTCCTGATAAAAGCACATCTTTCTTAACATCATGGCAGATCTTCCCTAGATAGATGTACAGGCCCGTGTCTCTTACAGATTTTACAGTTTATGATTTTGTTTTGGAAAAGATGGTTGAATACGCTTGTGGCTTTGAAAAGGAGCGCTTAAAGGAACACACAGCGCCTAAAGCATGTTATTTCACGGTGGGTGTTCTGCGGTTCAAGTGCGTCCTCATTTCCCGTTGTTACAGACCTGCTTAATTTGAGGGGGGGGGCAATACCGCCAACTACAACGTTCTATTTATTACGCTAATTACAATTATGGGGAACATCTTCATCTCCCGTTCCTGTTGATGGGCAAAAACTGGAACTCAGGGAAAAAAATCAGCAGTGTTCTGAGTCTCATTGTCTGCAAACCCTCACTTGAATGTACCAGGATATTACAGTGAAACTGGTACTTCAGAAACCTCGCCAGGGGAAAAGGCTGATTATGTTCTCTTTATGAAACATGAGGTTGTTTTTTTCTTTTTTTTTTTTTTTTTTCCTGCTGAAAGGCATTTGAAATCTTAGGTTCATTACTCACTCCACTTTTCCTTACCTTTGTTTCTGCTTTCCTGTGAGCCTTCTCCATGTATTGATAAAATAAGTTTCTGGTACTTTACTGGTGAGATTTGATCAAATGATTTGGAGTATCTCTTGACCCTGCGTATTTATCAAGCTAGCTCTAAGAGAAGTATTTGCTTCACCTGTTCTTTGCTCACATGGGAGTGAATCTTTGTATAAAAAACAGGAGACCCTTTTAAAAAAGTTCTTGTTATAATCCCTGAAATCACTTATGTGGAAACTATACTTCCAAATTTGATCTCCAGCTTTTAGCCCCAGGAACTCCAGAGTTCACCAAATTTTGAGATGAGATTATACAATGTTTCAGAACGTACATAAGAAATTTCCCATTGCATCTTGAAATTCCAATTCCCCGGCTTAAATGGGCCATTCCAAGTGATACAAAGGTGACTTTCTCAACGAGATGGAATACGTGTGTGTTGATCATAAAACTTAAACATATCCCACATTCCTACTGTGGGTGAACCGTAAATGCAAGTTTCCAGAAGTGACATTAATCCCAAAAGCCATCCCAGCCATCTTCGAAAGCATCCAAATGAGCAAAAGTGAAAACTTGTGACAGATATTTACAAACTAGTTTCAAACAGTCATCTTCCACACTTGGCTTACATTAGAAAATTTTTCTTAACCCAGAATTAGGGGTCATTACCAAAGAGAGGGCTTATTTCATAATAAGATGGGAACTTACCTCCTGGTAATGAAAGGACTTCCTGAGGAGGGGACAGAGTGGGAGAAGAGGGTGTCATTCATGCTGGTTACAGGTCTGGGTGGCCTAAAACAAAGTACAGTGTGGGTGGAAAGTTAAAACAAATAAAAGTCACAAGTTAAAAACTATCCACCATCTCTCCAGGAAAAGGGCTGCAAAGATCAGAGATCTATCATACCCAGGATCAACACAAAATTTTGTATTTTGCACTGAAATTATTTAAGTGTTCTGGGAAGTTACATTTCCTTGAAAACGTGGAATGTCCATTAACAATTAGGAGGAAGGCCTCTGGATGCCATAGGAATATTTATCCGTGAGCTTTGAGCCTTGCTGTTTCACTGAGTCACATTCTTGAATGGAGCAAGGACTCTGGGGCAGCTTCAGGTCCACTGTCTTCTAAAAGGAGAAGCTCTGAAAAATTAATGATAAGCAGAATCTACATCCTCTTGGAAAGCAGAGGATTCCTGGGGCTTCAGAAGCTTTTCCTGTGCTCCCCATGACAATGGCCCTTTCTCAATATACCTGGTCTGGAGGGCCTCCGTTGCAAAAGCATACCATGCCTTATTTGTTCTATGTGAAGATGCGGTCAAACACCACAGGATTTAGTGAGTTTCTATTATCTGGATGTTCCGTATAATAGGCCACATAGTGCAAGGCATCCCATAAACTTCATTTCTTCTCATATGATGAGAGAAAGAAAATAGGTTCAGTATTTCTCAGAATTGTACACGGCCTCAAGCTCCGACAACACGGGGTCTGCCATTCCAACGCTATTTTTCTTTTTTTTTTTTTTTTTAATTTTTTTTTTCAACGTTTATTTATTTTGGGGACAGAGAGAGACAGAGCATGAATGGGGGAGGGGCAGAGAGAGAGGGAGACACAGAATCGGAAACAGGCTCCAGGCTCTGAGCCATTAGCCCAGAGCCCGACGCGGGGCTCGAACTCACGGACCGCGAGATCGTGACCTGGCTGAAGTCGGACGCTTAACCGACTGCGCCACCCAGGCGCCCCTCCAACGCTATTTTTCATTATCGCCTGGCATTCTGTCCCTATCACTAAGGTCTTGGTTCAGGCAAAACGGTAGAGCTGAGATGCCTGTCTCATCTCCAAGTGGTTTTTAGTCTTATGTTAGGTTCGCTGGAATATGCTCTATGAGATGGAATTGAGAGCTCAGAATATGGATAATGAGGCAGGGCATCACTTTGAGTCAGAGGACATTTGATCTCAGGGTAGTTCCATATTTGAGTTGGACGGTGCAGGATTCTTGAACACTAGATATTAATCACAGTAGCCTACAGAATCTAGTTGTGTTGGCTTGATCAAGAGACACATTTGCAATGGTTTAGTTTCTACCTTATGGAACCAGCTGGTGTTGGATTCCGCAATGCAGAGATCCTGGGGAAAAGGTAGACTTGTTTGTCTCAGTGCGTTTATGGGAGTGGACGCGATGCTATAATTTTGACAGCACTATTTGCAAAAATTCACTGAAATTTTGGTTCCTGGTACTCGGTGCTAAACAGTATCCTAAGATTTTAAAAGACATTATCTGTTGGATGAGGTCAAAATAGCGCTTAACTATTTCATCTACTGTAAATATATTAGCTGGAGTTTTGAAGACTATCTTAGCGTCTTGCATTATTTATCTAGGATGTGTCTTGGCCCACATGAGGCTAGTTTAAAACGAATTCTACCTTGAGCACAACACTTTCATTTCGTAAGAAGGATGTTAATTTTATGCAAATGTCCTATGTGATTTTTGAAAAGTTAGGTAAATCAGATTTTAAAACAGTAAGAAGAATGAAATACCTGCATTTTTAACTTTGCAAGAAGTTTGAAACTATCAACTTGACCCACGGTTCTGGTTTTCTTTTGTCTTTTTTAATTTTCCCTTTGTGCTCTAGCTCCAGGAAATGAGAAAACAAGTAGAGTTGGAATGCTTTTTACCGAGCCTAGTAAATTTACTCTATGGAACCTGGCCACCGCAAAGCTGAAACTGCAGTTTCTTAGTGAATGGCTTCATGTTTCAGGTTCATCATGGAAATGTTGAACTTGGGACACAACTATAACTAACCTTGGCACCAAATGGTGGCTGTCAAAGGAACTGAGGTTCCTGTTTTCTCCATAATCAAATGAGAAGTTACTTTACCTAATAAGTAGGTCACGCTGGGAATTTTAAACAGATTTATTCTTATGAACAAGAAATAGCTCCACAAGATAAAGTCACAGGGATCTAGTGCAAACTTTTCCCTGTGGACGAGACCTTCACAGAGGACGTTTTTATAAAATTGGCATTTGTCTTGTGAATGGAAAGTGTTCAGCTGAAGGCAGAATTACCTTTAAAGTGGCCTCGTGTTACTCACTTGTTTTGTGTCTCATAACCACTTATGATTATAAGTCTTTATAAGCACACAGGGGACTATTGAACTACTTACCAAGTATCACTTTTGGCAGCAAGGAATTGAATAGAATAGAGACTGTTAATCATGGTAAAATTGACAAGAAATACAATAGCTAAGAACAAATGCCAAAATACCAAAATGTCACCACTTAAGCAGCCTTATGTATCTATGATAATTTAGAATAGCTAAATGAACAGCATATTTTAAAATTAGAAGTCTTAGATACCCCTATCCAAAAAACAAAAAGAAAAAGACATGGGTATCTATTTAAGAAAAAGACATTTGAATAGTAAATGAGAGAAAAACGTCTAAAGTTAAAAACAGAAGAAAAATTCTGGTCTAATATAGATTGGGCATTCTGCGTGCAGAATTTCTTGTATGTTATTTCAATAATGAAATATTTTCTACAATTTGCATTTTAAAGTTGAGACTTTAAATTCACCCTGGAAAAATATATTATCAGTGAGTATAGATCACTACTTTGATTCGAGGACTATTTGGAGAATCTGGTTAAATATATGGAACTTTTTCCAGAAAAAGGCATATTAGTGGAGAATTTTAAGAGAATCCTGAAACTCTTCAAGGAACTCAAATTGTGCAGAGATTGCGCTCAGTTAGTTCATTGAATAACACATCAGAAATTAAGGTTAAAAGTTTGTTTACTCATTAGCCAATTAAATAACACACACACACACACACACACACACACACGCACGCACACACACACACACACACACACACACCAGGCCGGAGCATGACGGGGTACAGGCTTTGTGCTAGGTAATACTGCAGTGTGACTGACCATGAAATTTATTTCACTCTGCCTCACTTCCTAATTTTGTCTCCAAGTGGGAGGAAGCATCCTAATTCTGTTCCACTGCAAAGCTCTTAGAGTCAGGCTGTTCACATCCACTCTCTATTTTTCTTACACCCATCAGCTCTGATTGAACGTTGTTCCCTGGGGTGAAACTCTTAGCCAGGCTGATAGGAAATGACTCCATGGCAGAGGTCAGACAGCATAGACTTGTTCTCACTTAGTTTTATTCATTTATTAAAAATTTAGTGATTGGCTATGGGAAGAACAGTTGAGATCTTAATAAGAACAGCTTGTACGAGGTCGTTTTCTGCAAGTGATTGGCCCTTTGGGATACTCCCCAGATTTATTTACCCCTGGCTTATTTTCAGGATAAAAATTTCCAAAAATAAGTTAACCACATTCTACCTAATTGGCTTACATTAGTTTTTTTGGATGCTTAGCCCATGCCCGCAACAAAAGCCTCCAGGCTGTGTGTATTGCTGAAGACAGTGAACCCTCAAAACACACTTGGGAGCAAACCAGACAGAGCCTTGTAGTATTTACATAAAGCCATAGACATGTCACAGCACAAATCATTTGATGGTATTTGCTTAGGTCCATCGGAGGAAAGAGTTACTACTTTCATAAAGCTCGCATCCATCATGGCATCTTTAATGGGTCATATTCTGAACTGCCTGAGGCATGGACTTTGTCCTGGTGGATTCCTAATCTTGATAGGTCTGATCAGCTCAGTTCTGGATGTCAACAAGCAAACAAAGGCCCTGCGGTGCAGGAAGTCCTGCTGAACTGTGCAAAACAAAAAGGAGTTTGTATAGAGGGGAGACCACCTTTTCTAGAGCCTTTCTGACATACCTTTGACTACATAATTCCTAACTGGGCACAGATGCAGATGATACGCTTGTTTCTTCTTTTCAGCCCAAGATAACACCAAGGAAGAAATATTTTCTTCTACTTCAGCCTCCCCTGTAATCTGGCCATGCAGGCCTGACAGAGGCTCCCAGGCATGAGGCTTCTGGGGGGTGGAAAGAATGGGAGGTAGCACTCTTTCCTAGCCCACTCTCTACCCACCAAACTCGCAAATACTTTGGAGAAAGAATTTTTTAGTCTATTTTTGGGTGTTCTGATGAATTTTACCACCCAACTCTCCCTCTTCAACCTTCCCACGCACAGGTCATGATTCTTCTAAAGTTGTGTAGTTTAGGATAAGACAATGACAATTTCTAGATTTGTTGACATCTTTAAGATGACTGGCTCTGCAGATAAATTCAGCAAAGAGTTTTTATCTTGGGGACCCAAAGCACACATGATATTAAGGCTTAGTGCGCCTTAAAATTTTCTTAAAATTAATTCCATTGATTGTTACTGTTCAACTGTAAAAACTCTCTCACATCTATATTTTATAATGATGCTTTTTGAATATTTTCCCCCTACAGGTGATTTACATTAGTGTTGCATACTTTACTTGCACATCAAGACAGAAGTACTGTATACCCCTAGAGTAAAATTATAATCACGTTATTTTCACTTTCTTTTTTTTTAAATTAAAATGTAAAATGTGGTCCCTGGCAACAAACATGAATTTGCCTTGTATGTATGGGGACGTGGGTCAATGATGAAAGACGTCTTTTCATCTGGAGGGCAGAGATACTCACACGATGTGCGCCAAGTTGAGTGGCTTCTCAGGCTGGTCAGGGAACATGGGGTGCAAGGGTTCACGGCTGGAAGCACAGCTCAGAGACTTGCTTAATGCATTAGTTAGCTTCTTAGCAGGTGATTTCTGGAAAGGAGAAGAAAGGTAGAAGTGACAATAACTAATATTTACGTAGTATTTTATGAGATGATTTGCTCTCACAATAGATGCTCGTTCACTCACTCATTCATTCACTGGTTTATGCGTGAAGTCTTCTGTGAGTGTCTACCCTAAGTCAGAGAGTTGGCTCAATGCTGGGACTAGAGTGCCGGGACAAGCCACCAGAGTACCTGCTTCCTGCTGCTTAGTGTTAGCAAATGCTGTGATAAATGGAAGCAGTCGTTGTGCATAGGATATCTGAGCTGGGACTCAAGGGACCACCAGGAGTCCTTCTGATCAAAACTCAAGGGATTGAGAAGGTAATTCCAGATGGAGGAAGAAGAGACCCCACTCTGGAGAGGAAAGCAGAAGGCAGATCATTGAAGTCCTTCTATGCCACATCAAGGACTGTGGTCTTTATCTCAGATGCAGAGGGAGACAATGAAGAACTTAAATCATAGAGGTGACAGGATCAGAGGTGATTCTAGAAGGATTGCTCCTGCTTAAGAACAGAAAATGATTTGGGAGGAGATAGGAGTGGACGTGAGAAGATGAGCAGAAGGTTTCACAGGCATCCAGGTGCAAAATGTTTCAGGTGTGGCTGGATACATCCAGTAAAAAGGAAAAGTGGAGCTTCAATTTGAGGCTTTAGGGTTTAAAATTCATGTTCTTTCCAGAGCATCATGATCGCTCTTTTTCATTTAGACCAGTAGGATGTTTATCTTAAAATCTTCCAGCCAAATCTATCAAAAATAATCTATCACACTTAATAAATCTTTATGCCAACTTTTCCTTTCCATGAGAAGCCACTCACAACTTTGTCGCTTTCTTTTACACACAGAGCCCATAAGTGGCAATACAATGAAGTGACTTTTGTCTTCATTATTTAAAAGCTAAGTGATAGGGGCATTTAAGAAGTCCCTCTTTGGCTTTCGCTAGGAGATGTAATTCTTAGAACATTTAAAACACAGCCGCAGCAACAGCCCTTCACCCCCATAAAACACTGGAGCCTCTTTATCCTCTTGAGGAGACTGATTCTACTTTGTAAAGACATTGCCCTGCCATATAATTTTAAGAGCCCACAATCCCTAAGAAAGAGACTCCTAAACTGACTTTGGTATTTATATAAAACAACAATGAAAAAATGCTTAGTCTTTGAACACTAGCCCTCCAGGATCTGAGATAGAGCAAGTTGGAAAATTGGTAGGATGCTGACCATAAGAAAATAGAAAGTGTTTTTTCTTATCTTCTGTACTAAATTGTATTTCATGATCTGTGTTAGTATATCCATCCTCAGGATGTGACATAACCAACAGTGGGAGGTGGCATCTGAACTGGCATAAAGCCCTCAGCAGACGATGCCTTAGTGAATCACTGTGATGCCTTGAATTCACAACCTGACAGATGCTAGAAAAAAAGTAGTATATTTACACTGAATCCTGGTTCCCAATAATAATTCCTAGAGAGAACATTCTGATTTAAAATGCATTTTCTGAAGACCTCCTTTATAAAAAAAAAGAACAATAAGTTCCTCTTTAATAAAGACTATAGGTTAATTGAAATACAGAAAATATACAAAAAAACTCAAAAGAAGTTTGCATTTTCTTTTTTTTTTTTTTTTTAATTTTTTTTTCAACGTTTATTTATTTTTGGGACAGAGAGAGACAGAGCATGAACAGGGGAGGGGCAGAGAGAGAGGAAGACACAGAATTGGAAACAGGCTCCAGGCTCTGAGCCATCAGCCCAGAGCCTGACGCGGGGCTCGAACTCACGGACCGCGAGATCGTGACCTGGCTGAAGTCGGACGCTTAACCGACTGCGCCACCCAGGCGCCCCTGCATTTTCTTTTAAAGCAGAACTGTTCCAAGAGGGGTTGACAGGTCTGATGGTTCATTCAACAAAAACCAACCCATATATAGAGCAATACTTTCACAGAAGTACAAAGAACAACATCGGGGAACTGATCTTGGAGTGTAACTGAGACACAGGTCAGCCAACTAAACTGCATGAACAGCAAGCTCATGGGTCAAATTCCTCCCACACATCCATCACATGGACAGACACTGACAAGTCATTTTTGGCAGGTTGGTCACTCACACTATTTACAAAAAGATGATTTGCTCATATAGACACAATCTCCCCTCCTCCAAAAAAGTAAAAAAAAAAAAAAAAAAAAAAAAAAAAAAAAGAAAAGACGCGTGGCTCACACGTCTTTCCTTTATGCTCTAGTCGTGCACTTAACAGAACTTCGGAAACCAAGAAAAAAAGAAACAATAATTTTTAAGCGATACCCACAAACAAAATAAGACAAAACTTGGAAAGAGCCTTAACCTACTGTGAAAAAGAAATTATGTTCCAGAAGGTGCTTGGTCAGTTGTTATCTAACCCAGTACTGGGTTGTCTGTATTCCAAGAAGTAACATAGTTTGAGTCTTCCTATAGCTTAAGTCTTAGGAAGCTACCCTGGATTCAGATACAACAGTTAAGACATCCCAGGGAGGTGGGGGGCGGGACGGAAAGGAAAGGAAGGACTGTTAGAGAAGGTAGGTTTGCTCTTTAATTCTCTCCCCATCCTTGATGTTCCCTTGCATTCTAAGCGACACTCATGCAGCCAAGTGTGTGTTGACTGGACCTGGCCTTACCCATGATGTGTACTCTTTCATTTGGTGTTGGTTGCTATGGGAACCACCGGCATGTCCCCTCCAGAAGCAGTCCTGACAGAGCTGGTAATTGTGACACTGTTGGCATCGGTAGCGGAATCCCATCATACTCTCGCTGTGGCAGTAAGAACATTCCACCGGATGGAAGACTAAGGGGGGTAGTAAATGAAGAAAAAAATGAGCGAATCAGAGTATGAGCCAGAATAAGGAAAAGTACAGCCGCATGGGAATTGCATTGTTTTGCTGTGTGCCACGATTTCAGATGGTAGTCAATTTTGGCTGAGAGAAGCATCATGTTTATCCCTGGACTCTCGCTGTCCTTTTCAAGCATGTGTGTGGAAGGTGGAGGAAATGAAATGGGATAGAGGATAGGTCTTCTTTTAATACCAGATTTATGCAATGCCATTTGCTCTTTTACTCCCATCTCTTACACTACAAGAATATAAATTCCCCAAACTGACTCGTCTTTCCCCCGAACTGCTCTCTGTCTCTAGGAGACTAGCACAGCTCGCTGCAAGACTCAGAAGTACAATGATGAACACAACGGACCGTCCCATGGGTAGAGAGCAAATGTTTGAGAAATGGAAAATGAGAGGGAGAAAAAAGAAAGGGATATGAGGGAGAGTAGAAACACTGGATGAGAATGGATTTTTTTTCTTTTTAATAATGGAGTGGCTAATGGGCTTATTTCATGAGTGACATTGCCTCCATTTAACAATTTTTTTTTCTTTCCTGAGAGGCAGATGGACAGGCAGATGCCCAAAGAGATGTGTAAGTTAGCTGAATACAGTTCTAATTCAGGTAGTTCGAGAGACGCTTCACTCTCATTGGCAGACAATTTGAATTATAAAGCAGGTGAGGTAAAATACTTGAGATTTGAAGCTAACAAATAATCAGATCCAAGTAATTGTCTACATGCTACTAAGCAATGGCCTTTGGTCAAGTTATTTATGTAACCACAATCGCCGAAACCTTCCATTTGAAGCTTATAACTACAGATGAGCAAGGTACCATAACCTAATGTCTTTCCATCTCCTCCACCTATTCTTGGCCAAGTGCCCAGGAACAGTCAATGCCATGAATACCAGTATTGGAAGTTCATGCCTAAACATAACGCAATCATTCTAAAAATGTTATATTCATTATTGAAATTCTTCTGCGGCTAGAGCCAGTCTACAGCCACACTCCACTTGTAAGTGAGAGGCACACAGCGAGATTTAATGACTCTATGGAATTGACTCTCCTAATTTTGCAGTGAGCCTCTAATGCCTTACGGATCAGGGAGAAAGGGTCTTTCGAAACTCAAAACGGCTAAGCGACCTTGGCTTAATAACTGTAGACTTGAGAGAACAATTCCAATAATTTTAAAAACTGCCGTAGCTCAGTAGTAACTACTCACCATTTTCTACATTTGCCAGCCGATGCAGAAGGGGCAGCCAGACCAGACACTGCGGGGGAGGGTCAGACATGAGTGTGTCCAAGAAACCGTTTAAGGTGACCTTTTTCTGCATCAAAAAAACCCCACAAAAATTTAGAACAGAGAATAATGTGAATTTACCTGCTGCGTACATGCCCTTTGCGATTAAAGAAAGAGGACATTCCATTAACCTCTAATACATGAAGAACGAGAATACAGTCTAATACCTAAAGAGCTAGTTCTGAATTTAAACCATTGGTTGCTTTAACACTTAAACACACATAGGACTGGATTATCTCCATTGAGGCCGAGTCAATATTGTCATAGGGAGAGCGACAATTCTGAGAGGGTCGCTTTTGTGTACGAGGGGCAGTATGAAAACGGTAAGGAAAGACAAACAGTAGACTTGCTCTCTACAACTTTACCCAGTCATGGTAAAGCCACAATTCCCATAGCAGTCGCTCGGTCTTCTACATTTGTAGGACAACTTCCCTTCTAAACTTTCTCCACTTCTGTAAGTACTAAATACTTCATGGTGAATGTGAATGGTTCTTGCCATACAAGATTAGGAGGAAATCCTGTGAGGAGGGAGTGACCCTTCGCTGTTAGAACAGTCTACAGTTCCAAAAATTCTTTTTCCCTTCTTGATATATCTTTCCTCTTAACTCAGTTTGCATCTGCCTGCATTATCCTGGTCCTTTCTGATATGGAAAAGGAATGGATTTTAAATTTCCTTCAAAATGACAAAAATAAGAAGTTATATGAATACATGATATTATAGCAGGATGAATAACAAAAAAATAACAGGTTTATATGCAAAAATCACTATTTTATTTGAAATTTTGAATTGTAATATCAGGTGGATGGGCTAGTTTTTGGTTTGCTTGCTTGTTTTTTTTTTTTTAATTTTATTTTAATTCCAGTATAGTTAACACACAGTGTTACATTAGTTGCAGGTGTACAATATAGTGATTCAACAATTCTATATGTTACTCAGTGCTCATCAAGATGAACGGTACTCTTGGGGCGCCTGGGTAGCTCAGTTGGTTGGGCGAAGGTCATGATCTCACAGTTTGTGAGTTCGAGCCCTGCGTCAGGCTCTGTGCTGATAGCTCACAGCCTGGAGCCTACTTCAGATTCTGGGTCTCCCCCTCTCTCTACCCCTCCCCTGCTCACGCTCTGTGTCTCTCTGTCTCTCAATAATAAATAAACATTAAAAAACAACATCCCCATCACTATTTCACTCATCCCCCCACCCACCTCCCCTCTGGTCACCATCTGTTTGTTCTCTACAAAAGACCCCCCCAAAAAAGAAAGCAATCTTGAAAAATCTTGAAAAAGAAAAACGAAGCTGGAGGGGTCACAATTCTAGATTTCAAGATATACTACAAAGCCATAGTAATCAAAACAGTATTACTGGCACAAAAATAGATACTTAGATCAATGGAACAGAACAGACAGCCCAGGGATAGATTTATATCTTTAGATAAGAAATCGGTTGTGAAGAACTATCATACCTTTTCAAGGCACCTATCTGACACTAGTCCTTGTAATTTCACACACAAAATATTTTGGTACTCTTTAATTAATCTTTTTTATCAGCAGATAGTTACAATGGTAGCTTTCCCTCAAAATACTAGATAGCTTAAGTATTATAGGGTGGTAACATTATTATTAAAAGATATTTATGTAGGGGCACCTGGGTGGCTCAGTAGGTTGTGTCCGACTTTGGCTCAGGTCACGATCTCATGGTCTGGGAGTCTGAGCCCCTCATTGGGCTCTGTGCTGATAGCTTGGAGCCTGGAACTGCTTTGGATTCTGTGTCTCCCTCCCTCTCTGCCCCTTCTCCCCCTCTCAAAAATGAATAAACATTAAAAAAAGCTATTTATGTAAAGTATAAGTAATGAGACAACATTTTTTAAGAAGTTACCACAATTTGTAGTATCTGAAATAATCCTGTCTTTCAAAATAATTACTTGGAATGGCTTGTACTTTCTCCAATGAAGCAATGCAAAAAATTTTAGAATTTCATCATTCAAACTGCTGTTATAGCCAGTTTATGAAGCACAAATATAAACTGGTCTTATTATTTATTTATATTTGTGTTGCCTCTTCTTATACTTAAAAAAATCTTATCCATTTTGATCATCAGACTGGCTGAAAATCACTCCTGGAAGTCTCCAAAAATGCTATTATGATTTCAATACATATAAATTTTTCATCATTGAGGATATATAAAAAGAATTATGGAATAAGACAGTCTATAAGATATTTCAAAAGGAACTTTGTGCTGTGGTAACATCATATATAAATCTTATTGAACATGTAGGTTATATTAAAATAAAAGACAGTTATCAAGGGGTGCCTGGGTGGCTTAGTCAGTTGAACATCCAACTCTTGATTTTGGCTCAGGTCAATATCAATGGTTGGTGAGTTTGAGCCTCACATAGGGCTCTGCACTGACAGTGTGAAGCCTGCTTGGGATTATCTCTCTCTCCCTCCCCGCCCCCCCTTCTCCCTCCCGTTCTACCCCTCCCCCACATATGCATGCTTGACTTTTCTTTCTCTCTCTCTCTCTCTCACAAAATAGATAAAGTTAAAAAAAGTCATCTAGAGAAACAAGAAACAAAATGAACTATTGGAACTACACCAAAATAAAAAAACTTCTGCAGAGCAAAGGAAACCATCAACAAAACAAACAGACAACCTACTGAATGGGTGAAGATATTTGCAAATAATACATCTGATAAGGCGTTAACACCCAGAATATATAGACAAGTACACAACTCAACACCAAAAAACCAAATAATCCAATTAAAAATGGGCAGAGGACCTGAATAGATATTTTTTCCAAAGAAGATATACATATGGCCAAGAGACACATGAAAAGATGCTCAACATCACTAATCATGAGAGAAACGCAAATCAAAACCACAGTGAAATTTCACCCCACACCTATCAAAATGGTTAGAATCAAAAAGACAAGAAATAACAAATGTTGGCGAGGATGTGGAGGAAATGGAACCTCAGGCACTGTTGATGGGAATTAAGTTGGTGCAGCCACTGTGAAAAACAGTATGGATTAAAAGTTCTATTAAAAATAGAACTACCGTATGACTCAGTAATCCCACTAGTGGGATTTACCCAAAGAAAATGACAATACGAATTCAAAAAGATATATGCACCATTGTGTTTACTGCAGCATTATTTACAATATCCAAGATATGGAAGCAGTCCAAGGGTCCATCCATAGAGGAATGGGTAAAGAAGCTGAAAAAAATTAGGTTAATAAACTTGTGTTTTGAATTAATTCACAGTATTTTAACAGTTAATTTTAGTTAAAAGGTAAGACTCACTCTTTTTTTAAATTTATTTATTTTGAGAGAGAGAGAGTGAGAGAGAGCAAGTATGAGCAAGAGAGGGTCCATCAGAGAGACAGAGAGAGAGAATCCCAAGAAGGCTCCTTGCTGTAAGCACAGAGCCCGACATGGGGCTTGATGTGGGGCTCGATCTCACAAACTGTGAGATCATGACCTGAGCAGAAATCAAGAGGTAGTCACTTAACTGACTGAACCACCCACGTGCCCCAAGACTCACTAACTCTTAAATCAGTAAAATTCAGTATGGTAAGCATTTGTCATGTGCCTTTTCTGAGATAGGGAAACAACCTGTTTAAGATATGAAGATGGTTAAGGTAGGAGGCTTTATGTCTTTTGTGAAAGGCTTCTTGGGGAAAGCAATGTTTGGGCAAGAAAAAAGGAGTTGGAGGCAAGAAATGGGAGGACATTGGAGACAGAGAAGCACAGATTCAGAAAACGGAGTGGTTGGAGCAGGAACGGAGATAGAAGGCTGCATCTGGAGGCAGAGGGGTGAGCTGGAGAAGAATGGAAGGGCTCTCAGAGTCTGGAAGAAAGGGAGATTCAACCTGCAGGCGATTAGGCTGCTCAGCAGGTGAGTGGCATGGTTAGATGGGGTGTTGTGAGGGATAGATGAGAAGAGACGAAGCCTCCTTCATGTTCTCTCTGTGCAGTTTTACCCTGTTGTACTACTGTATGCATTTTGAGAACCTCTGAAGATGCCTCTTGAGGATGGCATTCGGAAATAGTTTGGAATGCAATGGGGCGTGCACCAAATAAACAAATCCAGGGGCCGGGGGCCAGGGTGGAGAATAATACAATAGGGCAGGCAACAGGTGCTGATGAGGAAAGTGACTGGAGACACGTTTAGAAGGTGAAATGAGCAGGACTTGTGGACTGATGAGAGCTGCTGGGTGAGGGAGTTGTGTAGAAGGAGGCTTAGGCGATGGAACCGTTCTGATGTTACCAACTCAAAGGGAAATCGAAAGGGGAGCATGCTTCATCTGGAGGCAGAGATGAGGAACCTAAGCTGGCCTGGGGGTGGGGGAGTGGGAGAGGTCAGAAAGGCTGTCTGGATGACTCAGCATGGGAGCAGAGTTAGCACTTAGTGTATCAAACCATCCTATCTCTCATTGGTTGTTGTGTACAGTTGTGATTCTACATAAACCCATGACCTGCAGGGATCTGAGGCACTTTCGACCTCCTAGGTCACAAGTAAACAGATGCATGAAGTTTCCTAGCCAGGCAGTTAAATGCAGCTTCTCACTAGCGGCTCTGCACCGATTTCTTATTTAAGGGATCCTTTTAGAGGACATTCTTGGTTAGTTTGGATTTTTTTAAAATTTTAAACAAACCTTCAGTTTATGGCTTTGTAAACTACCATTGCATCACTCCAGAGAATGGCGCCAGACATGAAGACTTTCTACGTGACTGGACAGGTATAAACACAGAAACCCTCAAGCACTAAATAGCTTCTCTGGGCTAATTTGTACCACCCTCAGTTCAAACATGTAACTCTGAACCCCTAATGCATTACGGTGTGGGGGATGCAGGCATCCGTGTCTGTCATATTTTGGGCCTCCCTGATGGTGTGTTACACGTGGTATGCGATTCCTTTCTTGTTTCCTCTGCTAGACATTGGAGAATCTTGGCGCTGGCCCAGACTTACGTTTCATACGAGGCTGAGTGACAATTCAGCCCTTTTGATCCTACAGTGATAATCGCAGACATGACGCCGAGGGTATAGGGTTGTCGTAAGGATTGCATTGGACAATTCGAGTAAAGAACTTAGCGTGGTGCCTGGCTCACGGTCAGGAGCCACCAATTATTATTTTCCAGGTATGCTGAGTTCAGTTCCTGGTTCAGAGGTCAGTTGTCAGAGACTGGAAGATGCGCTACAGTTTATCATGAAGAATTTGTCTAAGTAGTGACTTGGAGGAACATACCGAAGAAAAACTACTGTTTGAGAGATATTTCCTTTAACACGTCCTTCCCCCCGGGCCCCCCCCCCCCCCACCTACCTGTTGAGAGAAACAGGATCTAGCTGACTGTTCTGTGTAACCAAATGAAGGACCTTCAAAGACCGCTGTGGGTAGTTTGAGAACTTCCCGCAGGAACTGATCATATCGTCCATAAACCATCACCCCACTGGAGTCAGAAATCATTGAGAAAATATCTGACGGAAGGGAAAAGGAAAGATATTTATTCATCACTTAAATATTCTCCACTGTTTCAGTGCACCATATCTGCTGCAAATAACCGAAAATGTAGCAGAATAAGTAATTTTTTTATGAAAGAGTAACATAAAGGTTAATTGTTACGCTGAAGTATTCCTGGCATTGTATTTCCTTTGGTGTCTTTTAGGTAGCTGATTCTGGAACACAGCATTGTGTTGGATAAAATTAGCATATTTTGATAAGACAGAGAATATCCCATTTTTATTTTAAGGTCAATTATCAACTCATACATCACTCAATGGAAGGAATTTTTGTATATGTGAGGAATATGGTGACCTCATTGAAACACACAATGAACATTTTCTACAACAAAGGGGTATGTATGTATGTATCTAGCTAGCTATTTGCCCATCTATATTATCACAAAAACCTTTGAGTTTTGGTTTAAGGTACTGAAAAATGAAAGATGCAATGGGGATAAGAACATAATGAAAACACTTGATTAACTTCCCACAGAAGCAGAAAACTTTCTATAAATCACAGTGTTCTAGGTGGAAGGTACTTGATTTACAGGGAAGGGTCTTTTGACTCCCGCAGTGGAGGGGAAGCCTGGCCTTGGGGAAGATCAATGAGGTAAAGTCAGAGTCCCAGACAGAGCCTGTGTCTTCATTGAACCTCTGTTCTTCCGTTTCTGCCACTATGGGCACTTAGTGATATTAATGGCATAATTTCTCAAGGTACTTTATAATTCCTCTGTGGAAGTCACTATGGGAATGAAAGCGTCTGCTATCGTAGTTTGTCACTGTGCGAGACTGTGACTAGGAGGGTACAGCTGTTGGGACAAACTGTTGTAAATGCAACATGCTGCCTCTGTTCAGTTTGGGCTTAATGTCTCAAGGTCAAAATGCAGTGTGGGGACATGGTTTTTACACTGCAGTCAGATGTTAAGCACATTACAGGCTTTAGCTGGATTATGTTTTGAGGCTGTGAATTGGCGCCCATTTCCTTCCAATACTCCAGTTCTAAAGGATTTCTACTGTTTCAAATAGTTTATCAGTTATAAGGCTAAAGAAAATTCACCCAAGCAACAAAATTAATGTTGTTTTCATTTGCCTTCACAACTGTTAACTTGGTGAATTTTCTCTCTTATGTTTCATTTTAACTGGTTAAAAAAAAAAAAGAAAAAGAAAAAGAAAGAAAAGAAAAAAAGTTGCCCAAAGCAAAACACTCTTATGTAATCCCATATATAGAAACTCAAGAATTCCAATAAAAAGAGGGAAAAGGAAACCCAGGAAAAGTAAATGGACTTTCTTGTAGGAGCGTAGGAGCTGACACCTTGTGTGTTTTTAGACAGGTTGGTTAACTACAATTGGGACATCCTGACCATCTTCTGGGCTTTATTTCTAGGGCAGGACACAGTTTTGAAAAGTAGCCTAGGCCTTTCAAATCTCCTGCTGAAAAAATTTAGACAACATTTCTAACTAGAGCAAAGGCAGAAGGAGTACCAACACTGACCTTTCACAAACTTGAAGCTCATATGAAACTCCTTTGTGTTGATGAAGTTTTGCTAAGCAATAGCCGAACTAGGGCTAGGTCACTGGGATTAATGGGACATGGCTGTTAATGGCCACTCTGGTTTTTAAAAATAAACGAGGGAACTCTGAGGAAGCTATCAAAATGATATGTTTGTACCTGAGTCCTGGGCTCTCTGTTTTATATATATATTGTAATATGACTACATATATATATATATATATATATATATACACACACATATGTATATAGCCATATATACTATACAATATGCTGATAATATGTAATATATGTGTATGTAATAAAATATAAGGCTACTTCAAAGATTAAATTAGTTAATGGATGAAAAGCATGCAGATGTAAAAGACAGAATAGTGCTTGGCCCCTAGTACACAGTACAGAAATGTTAGCTACTTTTACTATTGATTTCTTTTCATGTTTTTTCTGTCATTTACTTCGTATGCTTAGACACTGCCTCCCCAATGGGATTGCTCTGTAATGTTCCCAATCATACTCTAAATCACCACTGTGATTTAGATACATACAATAATAGATTAGAAGAATTTACATTCATTGATTCATTCAACTAAAATTCACTTAGCACATACTAAATGTGTAAAATTGTGCTAAGCAATGAAGGTACAGAAAAATCAGGACATAGTTTTTTTTTTATATTTATTTTTTTAGTGAATCAAAACAAAATTTTATTTTTAAATGGTATCAAACTTAACAACAAATTGCAAGAGTAAGAGTACTACAAAGGACACTCACCTACCCTTTATCCAGATTCACCTACTAACACTTTATTCCATTTATTTTATCATTCTATCATCTATCTATCCATCTACCATCTGTCTACATCTACTTGTCCGTGTGTATATATGTATGTACAAACATATTTTCTGAATTGAAACTAATTTGCATATATCATGGCCTTTACCTCTGAACACGGCCGTGGGTCCTCCCTAAGAATAAGGGTATGTCCTTTTATGAGACTACAGCAAGGGTTAGCAAACTTTTTTGGTAAAGGGCCAGATAGTAATATTTTAGGTTTTGTGGACCACACATGGTCTCTGTCACACATTCCTCTTTGTACTTTATACAACCCTTTAAAAATGGGAAAACTATTCTTAGCTGATGGGCCATAGCGTGTTGACCCTGGATTACAGTGTAGTTATCCACTTCAGCATATGTAACATTGATACGCTAATCTTATCTAATATTATCTAGCCTACTGGCCAGATTCCAATTTTGTGAATTGGTCAGTGACAGGGCATAGATTTTTGACCTCTGGGAGGTCCCAGTCCCCTGGGGATACAGAGACATGCTTACATAGTGCATCATATGACATCATAAATTGTAACACGGTGGCATGAATACCAGAACAGGAGGCAGCAAGGGTTCAAAGAGGGTTTCCAGAGTGAGGAGTGGGTCAGGGAAGACTTCCTTTCACAGGTGACTTTTAGGTCTTCTTAGGTGATAGAGGTGGCTTCTAGGCCAAGCATAAAGGACAATCAGGAGCCAGTGAAGCTTTAGGAAATAGCACCAGGATGTGCACAGGCATGCTCAAGCATGATGCACTCAAGCTCTTCAAGTAGTTCATTGTCAAGGGGCCTTGGGTGCACATAAGGGCTCGGTGGGAGATGAGGCAGAGGTATGAAGAGCTTCTAGCCTCTTCTAAGGAATTTAGGTGGTGTCCAGGAGATGCTGGGGAGATACTAAAGACTTAAGGCAGGCCAGTGAGTTAGAAATATTACCGTGGAGGTAGGTGTGGAGGCAAAACAACCAGTTCCGTTATAGAAACTCAACAAATCCATGGTGTTTGCTATAATGCTGGTCTTTTAAACAAAACCAAACAAGCCCTCCTCAGAAGCTTTAGAACAGCACCTGATTTTCTAGGCTAATGGCATTAAATTCAGAATTCCTTATGGTTCTTAGGACTATCTGGGAGCCCCGAGAAAGAAGCGTAAACTGGTGCTCCAACTCATGACAACAATAGCTTATAACTGGACCAAGAACAATTTGACAGAAACAGGTATTTTATTCCGTCAAGTTTATGTTTAGGTCCGTGTGTGCTATGACTGCAGGGGGCGCCCTCACACTCTAGGCAGCTCGGAGGCACGCAGTGGACACCCTGCACAATTGGTTCCTGGTGGCCCTGAGCACTGGAAATGGTGACGCACCATGGAGTTGTTGTCCTTTCTAATGCATTTTAAAGCACTTAAAAAATTCAGTTGAAAATTTTCTGTTTTCTGCTTTTTGCTTTCTCAAATTCCTAATTTGTTTTCAGCAATTACTCTTGCCCCACACTCACAGGAAGGGGCTAGTTGGAACAAACTAAATATCCTTCATCCCTATGCACAAAAACAGAAAAATTGCCAGACAAGCACAGCTGGCCTATTGGCTGAAGCGAATTAGAACTTAAAGAAGGGAAAACAAAAACCCTCAAATCCTGAGAAATTCCATATCCTTTCATTTGATTTTTTTCTTTTTGACAAAAGCAATGCAGAAAATCATTACTTCGGCTGTTTTATCATTAAGTGCAGCCGAAGCCGGCAAAAGAAGACCAGAGAAAACAGAATCCTGCTCGGTAAGAGGCAGCCACTGTGGTCTACGGGCAGATTTGCCTATATTTGCGTATTTAGTTAATAGTTACCACTGAAATTAAAAATATTGGTGACTCAAGATATGCATTTTTGACTATAACATTTTGGAGAGATTCTTCCAACCAAACTGCGTTCAGTTAAATTGTTTTTATCAAAGTGCTCTCAATCGACTAACCAGAATACCACTAAAACCCTCCTGGGATTGAGTACACAAAGAGTGACTTCTGAGCCCCAGAGCTGGGGGCATATTAGGCTGTGATTCAGGTCCACTGCTCTGGGAGAGGGCAATGTGATATACCTCAAGATCGCACTCTCTGTTTTTGTGGTTCTACAGAAGTTGTGACACCGGAACTTATTTCCGCAGACTGGAGAACATAGTTTACTCCCAGTGAGACTCATGCATTTAACTTCTTTCACTGTGCTGAAAAGGTTTTACTTTGGCCACAGATAGCATGCATGCTTTGCTCACTGATGGTGGGGTGAGGAGAAAGCACCCTAGCAATTACATTGTTTGCTTTGAATTCCTGGATGTGCCGGGTTTTGACACTTGGTGAAGATCTGCTCAGAAACTTAGTTACCTTGAGCTTAACTCTGCAGACACAGGTTGCTTGTTTACCTAACAACCATTCCCTTTGTCTTTATTGGCCCCAAGTTTCTTCCTGGGCTAAGAAGGGAAAGCAGAGGCCTTTCCCAGCCCAGGGGGCAGAGGTGGACTCCTCCCTCACCATCATGGGCACCCCTTTCTTGTTACCAGTAACTGGTGTAGCAACTGGTTTCTGATGCCACACTGGGGGCTGGGGGCCTCTGGAGTGAGACGGGACTCTTGAGATTGCAGTATCCTTTTTCCCCCAGCAGAGGGACAAAATTTGACACTGAGGAAGCCTGAATGGAGGGATGCACAGCACTGTGAACCTTGCTGGCACAGCATTGATTAGCTTGGTTCATGCAAGGCCCCAAGGACCCCAAGGAAGGTCAGAAAACTGGTTCTCTTAGTGTTCCTCAAACGTATTTTAATATGGAATCCTTTTGTCTATGTGCCTATTAATATAACATTGAGTAAGTATTTGGAAATGTTTCTCAAGACTTAAAAAAAAAAAAAAGTATCTGATGTCCTCAGCCTAAGTGGCCAGTCATGACATGAGATCATCAGGCAAGGCCCTCAAGATTTCTTCCTCTGCCCTGGTTCATTTCGCTAAACTTTCTCCTCTCAGCCCAACCCCGAAGGAAATGCTTCCTGGATTACTCCGGAGCTATGTTTCAAAAAAGGACATTGGGGGGCGCCTGGGTGGCTCAGTCAGTTAAGCGTCCCACTTTGGCTCAGGTCATGATCTCACAGTTCGTGAGTTCAAGCCCCGCGCTGGGCTCTGTGCTGACAGCTCAGAGCCTGGAGCCTGCTTCACATTCTGTGTCTCCCTCTCTCTCTGCGCCTTCCCTGCTCATGCTGTGTCTCTCTCTGTCTCAAAAAATAAATAAACATTAAAAAAAATTTTTTCTTTTTTAAAAAAAGGACATTGGTCCCATCACCTTCTCATTTCACTACTATCCTCGATTAAGCACTGAGGCAGATAGTTTTTAATTTTCGAAATCTCTTTCAGGATAACTAAAGAGAAACCAAACTCTCCCTTGTCAGGTCTGCTTGGGCTTCTCTGAATCCTTACGTCACTTGGCTAGTGAAATGAAAGGAGGTTCCCAGGGTGAGGGGAGATGTGTGGTTGTGGGGTTTCCATGTGCCTTCCACCACTTATCTACTGGCCCAATGACAGAACTCTGCTGTGCAGCATGTCTGGGGAAATTCCAGAGGATTTTTTTTTTCTTTCTGTATTTTCCTTCATTTTTCAGTCTTGGTGCATCAAGAAGCAAGAGATCACACTCAAAAGCTGACAGGCAGCAGGTGAGAAAAGAGCCTGGAGGCGGCGAATCACAGATGATTAGAGCTGGGAGGGAACCTCCAGGTGTCTAACAAAATCCCCAAGTTTGGGACAGAGATGGAAGCTGAGGACTAAAGAAGTGAGGTAATGTCCACAGAATAACTCAGCAAATTAGTCACACGGCTGGGCTTGCAAGCTGGGGTTCCCGGTTCCATGACAGTGCTCCTTTCCCACACAGCATTATAGCCCAAACCCATAATATTTCAGGTAAGGTAAAGGGTTAAGTGGAAATTTTTCTTTTAAACACTGCATCACTTAGAAATAGTTAGAAATGAAAATTCTTGTCCCCGAGTCCCACCTTAGGTCTTCTGAGTCAAAAACTCTGGGAGTGGTACCCAGAAATCTATAGTTTAAAAAGCTCTCCAGATGATTCTATAGATCCAAAAATTTCAGAACCACTAGAGAAAAAAAAAAAGAAAGTCACATTCAAATCCTGGTACCATCTTAGCTATAATGACTTCATTCTACCCGAGTCTCAGCTTCTTTACCGAAAGCAAACCAAATGCCTGTGTTTTCTGGGTTAAAAAACTACCACATTTAGTGGCAAAATGTACATAAAAGGCCCACAATCACTCGATGCACCCTAGCTATCACGTTTTTATTGGAATCCAGTTAATTCTCAGTCTATAGCGTCTCTGTGTGACTCTTATGCCTGTAACCCTGGCAATGTCTATTTTGGAACCTTTGGAATTCCCAGTGACTTGAACAGCACCGGCTGAGAATAATGAGGAAATGTGCCAGGAGTTTTGGCTTTGGATTACCTAAAAAAAAGAAGGCTTCCCAACATGACCTTCATGTCCCTGTGATGATGGACTTATACCTGTGAGGCAGTACAGTACAATCACCTTGAAAGAGTATATATCTTACTTTAATATTACAAAAAGCCTAGTGGGTGATACTCAACAGGTTGTAACATAATAATCCATAAGTAGAAGGAAAATATTAATATCATTAACATTTACCTAATATGAAAATATTTCTTTGACACAACGCAAAGATCCATGAAGATTGTATCTCAAGTGGCTCTTGTAGAATGAGGAAAGTCAAAGTGGGCAGCAGGACACAGAGGACATGGGGAAAGCAGAATGGTATACGGGAGGGATCGGCAAAGAGGGACACACAGAATAACTTACATCTTAATTTGTCCATGATCTTCCCTCCACACAACGTGGCTAAAGCCATTTTGACAGCAAATACTGAAATTTTACCATGGCCTTCCCTGTTTAATAACAGAAAAAAAAAAAAAAAAAAGATGTCATTTGGAGAACTTCCAGTAATGCGATTTGACATTTTCTGTTCTGTAGAAATCATAGGGCACCGTAGCTGCATACATTATGTGAACATACCCATTTTAGAAAAGACCATGAAGACAACTGAACACAAGTTTCTGAAAAGCTGACTATTCAATGTTTCATTTTTTCAAGAGATAGCAGAATCTTCAAGTTATTCTTTGTCTATGTCACTTGTTCAAAGCATGAGCTGGCAGCTAGAGGGATATGTACTATTTAGCCATGGATTACAATTACAGAACATGATTTTCACTTGGGGTTTCATAAAATAATTTTATGCATGATGATTCCACAGTCTCCATAATTTAATTAAACATGGTTTCAGGAAAAAAAATTTTTTTTGGTAGGAGAATTCCTGAATTTTATTAGAGTAACTATGGGGATTTTTCCATCACACCTTTTTTTTTCTTCCCCATCATTTCCTACCCACAAGCTGACTGTGTTTGTGTGATACATTTACTTTCCAAAGAGAGTTGATATTTTAAAGGGGCAAAAGTAAGAGCTCTGTTTGAGCTCCTTCTACCAAATTGACATTAGAGCTGCCAAATCTTCATCGATTCAGGAAGTGTAACTGACTTGCCCTTCACAAAATGTGATATAAAGGGCACACTGTAAGAAGTATAATATTTCAGCTAAATGATTTTGCAGCTGGGATAAACTGTTCGTTCTCGTATCCTTGGAATCAGAAAGTGTATCACATTAGTAACTCATTTCTCTGATAGTTGCTACTCTTAAGAATGATCAACAGAGTTATTTTAAATAATAATGTGGCTTAAACGTAAGTAAAGTCAGTACTGACAAGGGTTTAATATATAGAATAAATCATTTATATGACTAAGATCCGTATATATGACATTTTAGAAGAATAAGGTGCAATAAACAATTGTGTCTTTGTTCCTTATTAGACTCCAGAGATAGATGACGTTATTCACCCTTGCTGCTGTCATTCTTAGCATAGTACCTCAAATACAGCCAGCCAGAATGTGAAAGTGACTGAGCCCTATGCTGTTTGCTCTCCCATTTATATTTCTAAGCCTAAGCACCAGATGTATGTAATTAGTTATTGGATACCTCATGTCAAACTAAGTGTGTTCAAAGTAGAGCTCGTTATCCTTACAAAGCCCTCCCATAATACTCAGACCAACCCACTACTATCTGCTTCTGGTTGTTAGTCCCTCTTCTGGTTGTCAGACTCACCATGCACCTAGTTACCCAAAAATGAACTCTGGGGAAGGGGTTAACCTTGACTTTGTTCTCTTCCTTAATTCACCACCACCTCAAATGTGTGAGGGACTCAAATATACGTCTGAACTGTACATTAAGGCCATTCCCTGCTTTGCATTCCAACTGTCATTGCTTTATCAGCTCTTGCTTAAACACTGTAATAATTTCTTAAATGATCTCTCTGCTTGCACACTCACATCACAAAATCGACCATATTATTTTTTTTTTATGTTTACTTTTGAGAGAGAAAAGAGAGAGAGACAGTATGCGAGTGGCGGGGGGCAGTGCTGAGAGAGAGGGAATCATGGAATCCGAGGCAGGCTCCAGGCTCTGAGCTGGCAGCACGGAGTCCAACGTGGGGCTCGAACCCACAGACGGAGAGATCGTGACCTGAGCCGAAGTCGGATGCTCAATCAACTGAGCCACCCAGGCACCCTGATGATATTATTTCATTATTTAAAACTCTAATTGCTTCCGTTTGCCTACAGGCTATGATTACAAGTTTATCTGTGTTCTCCAGTCTTCCCTGCTACCATTTCTGTTGAACCTCACTCCATAGTCCCATGTTCAATGCCCCTGCCCTTCCTACCACCTTTTGCCCAGGACTCTGTCACCTGTTCATCAAAGACTCAGCTCCATATATCATCACTCCATTTGCTCTGAAAACAGCTTTTCCCCTGGATGTGCAGGCAAATGCTCTTCCCTCCACTTCTACTTACTATTTGGCACCTATCACACTGAGCGACCTTTGTTTATTTACATATCTGCATGTAATTTGACCCCACACTGTGAGATTCCTGGGGGCAGAGGCCATATATGTCTTCTCAATTAGTTGAATTCCTACAGCCTTGTACTTCGTCTCCCCCATAATTAGTGAACAATATATTTCTTATATTAATTAATGACTATTAATCTTTATAATAGGTGCCCCTAGAATTGCAAATGGCCACTCATTTAGTTGTTTGCTAATTTGGGAGCAGGTAAGCTGTAATAAAAACGCGATGCTTTTGTCAAAAAAAAAAAAACACCTCATTCAGAATTATTCCATGTGCATTGTATTCCCAACTGCATGGATAACTTGAAGTATCAAAAATTTATTCGAGGAAATCATTAGTTCCCTTTCCTAAGCTGAAACATGGTTCAAATTATGAGAACAGGGAAATCTACAAAATGTGCAAGAAGAGGAGAAATGCCAATGATAAGGTTTCCTTCAAAATGCAGAGAAATTGAGGAGCATTATATGTGAGATTTCAAGAGCAATACAAGTTTCTTTCAATGAATCAGAGAGAACAATTTAACTCAAGAAAGAGGATAGACCACAGATAATGATGGAACAGAGAGTTCTCCACAGGATGAAATGATGATAGCTCACAGATGAATTCTTAAGCCTTAGCTTTTAATGAAGAAGATCCTAGGGAGATCGCCAGTTCTGTATTGTTCTTGGAAATGCAAGATTAATGCTATTACATCCAGGAGTGGTTGTATCAGGCCTATTCTGCCAAATTGACACAATAAATCTAGATAAATCACCAAGCGGAGGGCAGTTCAATGAGAGTTTTGCAGGAACTCAAGGGTGAAATTAGGCCACTGGAATGTATTGTTATGCAAGCCACTGTGCCATATTGCAAAGGTGACCCTGGTCACAAAGAAGGATTCAGGGGGTATGCAGGAATGTAGATCTCCATAAGCACACCAATAGTGGGTGAATTTAGACCTTGCTCAGCCCTAGCAGTGGATAAATCTTGAAGGAATTTAAGGAGTGAGTGGAGACGAATGATGTCACAATGGAAAAGGGGGACACACCAAGGACTTAAATACAAATGGATCTTTTTAAAGAACATTTTCAGTAGATAAAACAGGATAAAGAAAAGGGTTGGGGAGAGAGATTTTCTAAAGACGTTTGACAAGATTCCACACCAAGGGCCATTACTTAAACTCATCTTGGGATCAGGGTCCTGTGTGTGTGTGTGTGTGTGTGTGTGTGAGAGAGAGAGAGAGAGAGAGAGAGAGAGAGAGAGAGAGAAAGTGGCATTAATAATGCAAGTAAGGAGTAGGGAGACATCGGTGCACCCCGAGGGGAGAAGTACAAGAGTTGTGCTCATCAGGAATCATCCCTAACGGGGCCGTGTGATTCACAAACAGACCGGGAAATCCCTTAAGTATCTAGGAAGTGGAAAGTCAAGCTCAGGAGGATGGATAACAGGAAACTCCCAGGAGTCTAGTGCAAACCAGCAGGAAAGCAGCATATTGTTCCAAAGTGAGTCTGCACACGCAATGCCTCTAGGAGTAAAGCAGTAAAACTGCCCATATGGAATGTTGGCCGTTGGCCACAATTCCGGAAGAAGACCTGCCAAAGTGTACTGAGGATGAAAAACGTAGATTGTCCCTAATGCTGCAGGCCAAACAGCCTTGGAACGGCAACACTGGGAAGAGTGCTAGAAAAAGTCTATGCTTTTGTTTGTACTAAGAGCTATGGCAGCACATCTCCAACTTCACGTGTGCCTTTTTTAAAAAAAAGAATTTATGTTTACTTATTCTTGAAAGAAAGACAGAGCATGAGCCGGGGAGGGGCAGAGAGAGAGGGAGATACAGAATCCAAAGCAGGCTCCAGGCTCTGAGCTGTCAGCACAGAACTCAAGGACCTTGAGATCATGACTTGAGCTGAAGTCAGACGCTTAACTGACTGAGCCACCCACGTTTCCCCATGTGCAGTTCTAATCGCCATCTAAAGAAAGAGCAGAGCCAGGTATGTTTGCGAATACTGCATGCAGTATACAGTGTATCTATCAGAACCATCCATTTGATGGGTGGGCTGGGCCTTCGAATCAATGACAAGACTGACAATGAGCCATTCTTGGTGGAGAAAAGTTGCTAGCGCAGTTGACTGATTGGTAGTGTAGAAGGTACAGCAAAAACTTTAAAGTGAAATGTACTACTGGCCTATCATCTTTTGTTTAAAAAATTGTACTTTTAAAGTAAAAATTTTAGGGGCGCCTGGGTGGCTCAGTCGGTTGAGCGTCCGACTTCAGCTCAGGTCACGATCTCGGGGTCTGTGAGTTCGAGCCCTGCGTCGGGCTCTGGGCTGATGGCTCGGAGCCTGGAGCTTGTTTCAGATTCTGTGTCTCTCCCTCTCTCTGCCCCTCCCCCGTTCATGCTCTGTCTCTCTCTGTCCCAAAAATAAATAAACGTTAAAAAAAATTTTTAAAGTAAAAATTTTATTTTAATATTTTCCCTTTTAATGTAGAGCAGGAACACAATGCATGATACATGCTTTCCTCTTTTTTTCCCACTATTTGGTTTTTAGCAGAATGGAATATATTCTATTTTTTTAGGCCAATCAGCCGGAAGCTTTTGCCAATACAAACTTTACTTTCCTATTTAGCTTGAGGTCAAAAACTACCCAATTAAATTGCTATGCTGGTGCGTAATTAACACCTTGAAAGGTATTTAAGACAATCAGAAAATTAGCAAAAGTGCAAACTGAAATTGCTTTATAAATCAAGGTTTCCTTAAATCTTTTATTTCCCTTATACTTTGTTTTTTCACTCTGAAAACTTCCAAATTTTCCTAAGAGGTAACCAATTAAAATGGAAACAAGAGGGGCACCTGGGTGGCTCAGTTATTTAAGCATCTGACTCTTGTTTTCAGCTCAGGTCATGATCTCACGGTTCATGAGATTGAGCTCCATGTTGGGGTCTGTGCTGGC